CAATGCGTTGGTATACGCCCTTACTAAAGTTGGATATCCTTACGAGAATTGACTGTGTGGTCAGGATATTCTCAATGTATTTATTCATGCGATGTCATGCATAATACCTGAGATATATTGTGGGTTATTGTTTATTGTGCAAATGGTTGGTTATGGTTTATTATGGAAAGGAGTTTATGGTGGAATTGGTTTGTTGTGAAATTGGTTATTGTGGAAATGGTAACTTGTTGAAAATTGTTATTTTTGAGAATTGGTTTTACTTTTTCATTTAATTATGGCTATTGTGTAAACTTGAAATCCATTGAAATGTCTCTGTTTTCCTTCAAAAGCTATATATGATGTTTGTAAAATGAGACCGACCATTTTATATGCTTTTGAAACCTTGTTCAAGTTTGAGAGAATTTTCCTACAGAGCTTAGTGCTCACCCCCTACAAACAATATATTTTCCAAATTATGGTCTAGAGGAGGAGCTCAGAGTTGATGAACCGATACATTAGGAAGCTCCAATAGATGGGAACATGGATCCCGAGGTGGACATTTAGAGCTATATTCCCTTATGTTCTAGACTAGGAAATTCATTTTGAGATAATGTGAAGTCTAATATTTTTGATATTCCGCTACAAGATAATAGTTAATTTTTGGGATGTAATTGTCATAGTTGGGCATATTCTTTTGGATGATGTTGTATATAATGTGGATGATGAATAAAATTCTCTTTAGTTATGAAGTTCATTTAGTTGCTCTCATCATGTGAATGGTTTTAGCTAGTAATACCGTCCAAGAGGGATTTTAGAGCGTTACAAGTTTTGGTATCAAAACCTAGAAATTAGATCTTACATAGGAGCTGTAAGTTATACATTACCACTAGAGATGTAGGACTAGGTCGAATGAATTGTTGATTTAAATTTTATACAAGCCTTATATTTTAGATTAAAGTGAGAGTTAGGATGTCCTGCACATTAAGAAAATTAAATAGTAAATTGATGTGCAAGATGGACGGTAGGTGTGGTGGCCAAGCAAACCCACCACCACCACCTCCTGATGCCATGAATGACATTTATAAATGTTTAAGAGAGCTAATCACTCTGGTATAACACCATAATGAAAACAACAACAACAATGGTGGGGTTCATTCCTTAGCTCAGGAATTGGGCAACGGGGATAAAAATCGAAAGATGATAGTTCTTCGAGAATTTTTGAGGCAACGCCCACCTACTTTTCAAGGAAGCTCTCACCCCTTAGATGCAGATAAGTAGATTCTCCGGGTGAGGAAGATGTGTGATGGCATGGGAGTTGGCAAAGATTTGTGTGTTGACTTGGCTACATACCTGTTACAGGAGGAGGCCGACCATTGGTGGGACTCGAATGTATGAGGTTTCCATTGTTTGTTGTTGGGAGTTGGATGTAACTACTGGAATCCAATACCTTAAAGATGTAGTTACTCTTCCTAAGGATATGCTTACTTAGGAGGAGTTTGATCAAATCTTCAAAGATAAGTATTTTCCTGAATCGGTCAGGGACAAGATGAGTGCAAATTTTCTCGCTCTATGACAGGGAAGCTTGACGGTGGCAGATTATGAGAGGAATTTTGATGAGCTATCCTGCTATGCCACAAAGTTCATATCTATCGAGGCCAAGAGGGCCAAATGCTTTAAGCAGGCTTGAGGGCTGCTATTAGGGAGAGGCTTATAACTTACAAGATCCGGGACTATGGCGATCTTATTGATAGAGCTGCACTTGTGGAGAGAGACACGGAGGACAACCAGTGGCGACAGATCTTCGTGAGGGGAGGTCCAATTCGGACTGGTGCTAGCAGCAGTGGAGTGCAGAGGGCAGCCCCTTACCGTCGTCTAAACCCGATGATTAGACAAAGACTTCAGACAGTTCGAGGATATGGGGTTACTCAGAATCAAGCAGGCATTGACCCACGTCAATGCTTCGCATGCAGAGGTTTCGGGCACTTCAAAATTAACTGCCCATCATTTTCAATAAAGACCAATCAAGCAGCAAGACAAGTAAATTCAAACAAGCCACCACTGTAAAAGCCACTAAAGTAGAGACCGTTAAGAGCTCTAACCCCAGGTAGTGCCAATTAGGGAAGAGTGTTTGCTTTGACCCACTAGAAAAAGACATTTCCAATGTAGTTGTGAAAGGTATCGTTCTTCTTTATAATTCTTGGGCCCAAATTTTATTTGATCCTGTGGTGACTCATTCATTCATACGCACTATATATGCTCTTAATTTGGGATTGAAATTCGAGAAGTTAGAACATGCCTTAAGTATTGACATGCCTACAGGAGAACGATTAGATACTAGAAGGGTGTGTAAAGGTTGTGTGCTTCGTATTGGCGAGCAAGAATTGATTAAAAATTTGGTTGCATTAGACATGAAGGGGTATGACATAATATTTGGGATGAACTTATTGTCCACTTTCTGTGCAGTAATGGATTATTTTCACAAGCGGATTTCATTTCAATTACCGGGAGGTGTAGTTTTTCAGCTTCATTAATGATCAAAATTCTTCCAATCCATTTTCCACTATAGGAAATAGATTCTTGAAAGGTAAGGTGGGGAGCAATTTGAGTTTCTTAGCCAGCTTAATGGGAGATGATCGGTATAAATTCCATGCGGACGTAGTGTTGATAGTATTAGACTTTTCAAATGTCTTTCTAGATGAACTACCCGGGTTACCCCCACAGAGAGAGATTGAGTTTAAGATTGATCTCTATGCAGGAACCAAATCTATATCCATTGCTCCCTATTGGATGGCACCTTTGGAGTTAAAGGAGCTAAGGAAGAAGTTTGGCCATCTCTTGACTATTGTGTTTATTCGTTTAAGCACTTTACCTTGGGGAGCCCCCATCCTCTTTGTGAAGAAGCATGATGAAACACTTCGGTTATGCATGGACTATCGATAGTTGAATCGGGTGACAGTGAAGAATAAATACCCATTACCACGAATTGATGATTTATTTGATCAGTTGAGGGGTTTTAAGTATTACTCTAAGATTGATCTTCGCACAGGGTACTATCAATTGTGGATCAAGGAGGAGGATATTCCTAAGACAACTTTCTGTACCCGGTATGGTCATTTCAAATATAAGGTAATGCCATTTGAACTGACTAATGCTCTTGTAGCCTTCATGGATTTGATGCACAAGGTATTCCGGTCGTTTCTAGATCAGTTTGTCATTGTGTTTATTGATGACATATTAATCTATTCACGAACACAAGAGGAACATGAAAACCATCTTTCGGTAGTGCTATAGACATTGAGGGAGCATAATTTATATGCTAAGATGAGTAAATGTGAGTTTTGGATGAAGGAAGTGAAATTCCTTGGTCATGTTGTGTTTGAACAAAGGATAGTTGTTGACCCCACAAAGATTGAAGCAGTGATGAAGTGAGAACCACTGAAAAAAATATCACCAAAGTACATAGTTTCATGGGCTTAGAAGGCTACTACCAGAGGTTTGTGGAAGGTTTCTCCAAGCTAGCGATACCAATGACACGTATTACGAAGAATGGAGAAAAATTCTTGTGGACTCCAGTGTGTGAATTAGCCTTTAGTACCTTGAAGGAGAAGTTGACAACATCACCTATCCTTATTATTCTGAGCAGTGGGGAGGGATACGATGTGTATATTGATGCTTCATTTGAGGCTTGGGATGTGTACTAATGTAAGGAGGTAAGGTAGTTGCTTATGGTATGAGGCAACTCCAGATTCATGAGCAGAACTATGCCACTCACGACTTGGAGCTTGCTACTATGATTTTTGCTCTTAAGTTGTGGAGGTGTTACCTTTATGGAGAAAAGTTCCAAGTGTTTTCAGATCATAAGAGCCTCAAGTATATCTTCACACAGAAAGACTTCAATCTTACTAAAAGTGCATCAATTAGTAATAAAAAGTATAATAATTAATTGACTTTGGATTTTTTTTTTAAAAAAACTGGTTTTCGTATCCGAATCTGTGTCACCCCTAACTTCTCGTATCCGAATCCATACATTATAAATATGGAACTCAACGCCTGATTTGGAAACGGATGAAATATTCAGAACTTCAATACACAATCAAGTTCATCAAACTTTAAGAAGACACTATAACAGCATAATATTAAGACAAAATCAGGCATAAATTAAGGCACAATAAATAACCTATAACAACAAAATATTAAAGACAAAATCAAGCACAATAAATTTCTATTGTGCACAAATTTCAGGCACAATAAAGTAAACCTTCAAGCACAATAAATAACATTTTAACTAACTAAAATGAATAGAAACATAATTTTAAAGAACAATCAACACACATGTAGAGAACCATCAAATTCAAACAAATGGCAAACGAACTATAATCAAACAAATAGCAAACCACCTATGGTCAAAATGTAATCGAAGTCACTGTGAATACAAAAGAAATACAACAGAGAATTCTTTTACATCCAATTTTACATTTGTCAAATCCTTCACAAATACCCAAGCAAATTTATAATGCCATTGGGACCTAAGATGGGAAAACCAAAGAAAGAGAGTAGAACCTTAAGGGAGAAACCAATTTGATAAATAAAAAACTCAATTTGAAATTTCATCAAAAAAAAAATCCAAAAAGGGGCTTCCCAATTATGTAATCTGTGTGATTTATTTTAATAGGTTACTTAGAAAGCATTTTTACCAATTTCTTAACATGCTGAAGGTGGTCGCAGATGAATATGTTCAAGTGCATTGCACATCGTCCACCGGAATCATTGTCTAGTGGTCATAAAAGTGTCAAACTCAAATCTCATAGGCAACCACTTTGTACAACTAATGCAAAGGGTAGATGTATCTAACCCACACCTCTCACCACTCCCAAAATCATGACACGTTGAATGTCTTCCATCTCATGGGCAAGGAGTTTGAACTTTGCTTTGGTTCACAAGCTTTCATTTTCAAAATTTGAAAAAATTGAGTAGGCAAGAATAGCTCTAGTGTTCATACAAGTTAGATAACAGCGTTAAGTAAGATACCTGAACAACTAGACATTCTCCTTAGTGTTATTATTATTTCTCGTAATACAAGAGTTCGTTTCCAATCAAAAAAAACAAAACAAAACATTCTCCCTAGTGAAACCCAACTAAATCTCAATCCCTTTAGGTATAAACTGAAGGAAATTGATAATTGAATAGCATAGCCTCCCTTTCAAAGATGACTCTTAAACTCATAGCCCATCATTCATAAACAGTTCAAAATCCAGGGTCTAAATGGTTTATACAGATAAAAAAAGGATTAGCTTAGATCAGTATTGCAGACACCTTAAGCTGCTAACAGGTAACATTTAGCTACATTTCACATTGCGAGAAGGATAGCGGAGGCCCATATCATCACTTTCACATTAGATGAGTCGGTAGAAACCCAATTGATCCGTTCCAATTCCTCATAGCGTCAGCGCACTGTGCAAATAGTGACCCAGAAAAAAAAAATAGCTCAACTATTCACACAAAACACAGAATTTAAAGAACAATGTGTGGAAATTGACATACCTAGATGGAAATTCCCTTTGGGTGTCTATTTAAGATAGTTCTTGGGCAGCTTCCGTGATTGTATAATCCAGTTAAAGACTGATTCTTGAAACATTTCACCACTACATTAGTAACTTTGCAAGTGGGAATATTGGCTATATTTCTATAGCGAGAATGAGCTTCCTGGTGAATAGATACAGGTGAAAGAGCAGAGTCAGTGGATCAGTTCCATAATAAAACATTAATGTTACTATCAATGCATGTAGATAGGTGCAGTGTCAAAAATAGGCATGATGTTACTATCAAGTTTATCTAATTTATGTTTCTAAGCATGATAACTTTTCATGAACTGCATTTGCATAATTGATCTTCCATGAATTCAGATTCCATTACTCCCTTAAGAATGATGCACAACACAAATCAAAGCTAAACAAAACTTATAAATAAAAGCAAACAAACGAATGTCCTTTAAGAATGATGCACATCACAGATCAATGCTCTCAATCTCCATTGTAGTAGTATTAGCTAGCAAATTGGGCCTCAACACAAGCAATCTCCATCTATTACATCATGATTTTCGTTTTCTCAATCTCAAGCTCCATTGTAATAGTCATTAATAGGGTTTTTTGTTCCATAAATATTAAAATCCACAACCCAAATGCCATTCCAGTATTCCAAATTTAATACATAAGAAAAAATGAAAAAAATATGAAATCATTAGAGAGAATGAGATCCAAAAGAATTTGCATATAAGTGATGAAGCACGGTGTAGGGTTACCTGAAATCATACAATCTGAAATCAAATCAAATTCTTTTAGAGAGAGAGAGGAGGGTTACCTCACGGCCGGAGTGATGAGAAGAGGAAGCATAAGAGGAGGGTTTAGAAGAGGCGTCATCGTCAACGGAGTCGGCAACTGGTATAAGAAGCTCTAGATCTCAACAACAATTTTTTTTTATAATTAATGATAATAAATAAATGTTGTTTGAATACATTTTATATTATGCAAAGACACAACATAAGCATTCAAGTTTTGAGTCACATCAGCATGTTCCATCCGTCTAGTAAGTTAAATGGGGCAAGGGAGTGAATATGCATTGACAGTTGTGCAAGAGAAGAGTCAAATGAACAAATTTTTCTTTAAATTCTTATGTTTTTCATTGCAATAAGTAGATATGTATAAATTATTAGTCATCTCTCAAGCAAGTATTATGGTTGAAATAAGCTTGGATCAGAGGATGTTATGAAAATATGAAGCTTAATTTTAGTTTCTTTTCTTCTCCTACCTTTATTCTTTGACAATCAAACATATCTAGAACCAAAAGACTTAAATTCACACTTCAGAGCAAAAGAAAGTTGGAAAAAGACCCCAAAACGAAAACAGAAGGCCAGCTAAATTATAGGAGCAAAAACAGAAGAAACCAAGAAAGCCAGAAATTCTAGGCAACAAACAACCAACTATCCATCAGCAAACAAAGCAATCTCAACCAAGACAAAAGCATCATTAAAGATTCATCGGACATCAAACAAGTGACTACCCATTGTCGAAAAAGACGAATCTTTAATAAAACAAAGGCTTCATTAAAGAAACACCATGATACCAAATCAAACCACATAATGATATTCATTAAAGAAATCAAAAGGACCAAAAAAGCATCATAAACAAATCAAAATCCAAAAACCTATGTGTGCAATTGGTTATAATTCTCTGAATCCAAGACTTACAAAGGATATCTTCTGGTGTAGATTCGACCCGTTTAGTGTAAAAGAAAGTCAAAGAATGAACCTGTGGGGAAGCATAGAGATTTCCCGAGGGGCCACAACCCTATTAACTACAAATTAACAACATCAATTTACACCAATTAATAGCCCTAATTTTGAAATTATTTGTGTGTGTGTGTGTATGGGCGATGAGTTTATGTGTGAGTGTATGGTTGATGGGTGTGTTAGTGTGTGTATGCATTGTGTGTGTGTGAAAGCAGGGGAGAGAGAGAAGCAGAGGGAGAGAGAGAAGTAGAGGGTCGGGCCGGAGAGAAGCAGGGAAGAGGGATACCTGGGAGGGGTGTGGTGGTGGTTGTGTTGCTGGCGATGGCGGTGGCAGTGGCTGTGTCGCTGGCGATGGTGGTGGCTATGTAGATGGCGATGTGGTGGTGTCGCAAACGATGTGGCGATGGTAGTGGTGTTGCTGGTGGCGTAGCTGGAGTGTAACAGAGAAAGAGGGAGAGGGTATAGCTTGGTGTCGGTGGGGGAGTGCCTAATGAGGTGACTGAGAGGCTCAGAATTTTGAAAAATATTGTGGGTGAGAAGAGTTGATTTTAGGGGAAAAAATATAATATTGTGGATGATTGTGGGCCGTTGAATGGATGAAATAATTTGAAATCGTCGGATGTTGAAGTCGCTCTGTTTTATATTATAGACTAGGGATAATCTTTGTCCGAAGATACGGTACAATTCAAAAATAATCAAATACTAAATTCGGACGCATATTAAGTTGAAAATCTAAATTATCCTCATAATCCGTGTCTGCAGAATCTGTATAATTAAAAAAAACATTATTCTTCAACGAGAAATAATCAAACAGTGAACATAAGCACACATCAATCTAGTTTTCTTTATTTTTTTAAAAAATTTTGACATAGTTTCTTCTAAAAATAGTAGCCCAAAAAAATCTTAACCCGTATTCAAAGGTTATATATCTCATAATCATACTCAAATCGACATCATAATATTAGTCATTCATGGCACAATCCTTCCTCTAAATAACAATTTACCAACAACCACTAAATAACAATTGGCCAAGCTAATACCCGTGCCTAAAGGCACCATGCAATACAAAAATATCACCAATGACAAAAAATAAGGGTGCATTAAAATAAGTTCACTTCATTCAAATATTGATCAAATTGCAGATAAGTTGAAACCAATATGTAATTACTACTTTTCAAATAAGTTTAAATCAATTGAGTCCATTGATTCCAATGGAACTACTGACCTTACCATATATTTCCAAATTCCACTTCACAATATACTTTATCACCCACCCATCCAAACCCTTTACATAGCCTTAACTAAAAATTCTAGAATCTTTCTGGTTATATATAGATTTTAGCAAAGCACCCCATAAAGCTAGAAAATATGAATTAAATGAAAGCATATAAGCAATCATATAAACCCAATAAAACAAATGGAAGCACAAAAATGGGAGTAACTTGTAATTGAGAAATTGGAAAAACAAAGATAAGAGGATTCCTTTCGTGACGGGGTTTTTTTTTACATCTAAAAGATAGTATACAAATATATATCAACTACACGCCCAAAAAAAAAAAGGAAAAAAAATGATAGTAAACTTATGGGTATAATCAACTTTTGATTAAGAAAATTTCTTAAACACATAAACCTTCATAGAGTTCAAACAAAATAGATCACAATCAAAGTGGTATGACACTAAATTTTTCAAGGGAAACACCATTGAACATATGTATTTTAGTACAATATGCACACCTTCATGATTAAGAGTGAAAACATATCAAAAAAATAGTTTTACCACTAAAAAAGGAAGAACATGATAAACCTATGGTGTAGGCACACAATTAAGATATTCTAATTACTTATATGACTCCACTAAATTCAATCTTTTCTACCTTCATTTTTGAAAAGGATAAACGTCAAGAAAGCACGGTAACACAACAATTGCAATAGCTGACAATTCATGCATCAAGAAAAAAAAATTACAATCAAGAAAAAATGTTTCAAGTCTAGTGGCTTAAATGTCCAACTACTTATGTTTCAAAAAAAAATGTCCAACTAATTGAGTTAATAATTAAAGTTTTGAACTAAAAAACATCATCATTACTTTGACCATCATATATTAAGCCATGCCATAAAAATAATCAAGCTATACCATGCATTATTTCTAAAGAGCAAAAGAAATTTGAATATTGACAAAAAGGATCCATATACATTAAGCATTGATATAAACGAAAGATAATGTTGAAAGACTTTGCCTTAATTGTATTTCAGTGACAACACCAATGGGTCTTTGGTCCAATGGTACTCCTTACCTTGTAAAAACTTTGTCGTCTTAAGGTCAAGGGTTCAATCCTCTTTTTCCCTCCCCGTCCCCCCAAAAAAAAAATTTTTTTTAAATTAAAAAAAAAAACTATGTTACTAAATGCTAAAAATCATATCATAATTAATGGTATGCAAAATACCTATTTTAATTATTTTTCTTCATTCCTCAAACATATCAGCAATCAAAATACTAAGATAAAACAATGTGGACTACAACATAAATACCTTTGTTTATGGGGCTAAGCATGACAAGTGTTGATAAGTAACTGACAGAAAACCTAGCCAGTATTATAAGAAATCCTAACCACATTTAATTAATAAAGTATGACCTCTGCCAGCTTAAATATCAAATAAACATATTAAAATTGCCACATATAATTACCTTCAATCCATAATCTGTAAAAAGTTCACAAATAAAAAAAAGATTACTCCCAGGCTTATCTAGAGATATCACATGCCTAAAATAGTAGCTATATAACGGGAAAAAATTGATAATTAGAGAAAATAAGTATTGGGAAGAGAAAAATGGTGCACAAAATAGGAATCTAGAAATTTCCAACTTGTATACACAATTTATATTTTTTATCACTATTGTAAACCCCACCCTTTTATCTTTAGATATGTATGTAGGTTTATGTAGAAAGTTATTATTTCTTTTGGAAATGTTATTATGGAAATTCGAGGAAATAGTAGTTAAAACTTAGTTTTAAATTGCAAATATATGAAATCGTTATAATAGAACTTGTACAAACTAGGTTTGATGTACAAAAGCATGTTGAATAAGTTTGAGTTGGATTTGGAAGGGTTTGGAATGAGTTTGAAATGAAAAATAGAGGAAATAGACAAATTTGGACAAGACCTACCGGTAGTACGTTGTCCAGTGGATTTGAACTACTGGTAGCTCAACAGATAGTAAGTTGCGAGTGGATTCGAACTACCGGTAGCTCAACAGGTAGTAAATGTCTAGTAGTTCCGAACTACCGGTAGCACAACAGATAACAGATTGCCAGTGTATCTGAACTACCGGTAGCTCGATACGAACTACTGGTAGATAGTTAAAAAGTCAGGATTTTTATGTTTTAAAACCCCATTTTTACTACATTTACTCTCATTCTTTCACACCACTCTCACTCCACACCTCTTAGAACCCTAATAGGAAGACTTAGAGAGGAAGAAATAAGGGGAGAACAAGAGTTCTAAAGGGGATTAAAGATCAAACCTAGCTACTCCAAGAACATCAAGGTAGGAGTTTTCTTCTATTCTTGTCCATTGATGCTAGGGCTAATATATACGTATTTCTTGACTCCTAATCATATGTATTTGCTATGGGTTCTTTGTTCCTTGGTCTTTTTGCAATTATTAGTGTCTTTTAAACAAAGTTAGGGTTGAATACCCATGAAGTCTCATTTTCTTGATTATAAACTCTAGTTTTCAAAAGAGATGGATTTTCTTCTTGATTCTTCCTTTGTTCTTGACTTTGAAACTTTAGTGCCTTGTGTTGAGTACTAAAATGATATTGATGATGATCTTTTGCATTTTCTTCAATGTTCTATTGAAATGATACATGTGAAAATTTGGGGATTGTTAAAATTACTTGTACTCTTGGAAATACCCATGGAATTGGGGATTTTAAAAATTATTTGTTATTGACGAAATTGTTGGTATTGTATCTCTTGTGTGGTTGTTTGGATAAATATGGGCTACGACTGATCAGGTATCATGGTGTGGGTAAACGTCTTGTTACTCCATATGGGTTAGAACTTTTTCTACCACTTGTAATGGGATTAGTGCCTTGCGAGAACTAAATCATTATCGCTTACGGTTTATCGTGAAAAAAGGGGTAAGTATACTACTCTTTGGTTGGATACGTCACTGCCATAGTGTTGGCATACGCCCTTCCTAAAGGTTAGACATCCTTGCAAGGATTTGTGTGAATTGTACGTGGGACATGATATTTTTGATGGTATCCATGTGAGGTCTTACTTCATACCAGAGATACGAATATAGTGGTGTGTTATTGTTCATTGTACCAGAAATGGTTCTATAAGAATCTTGGAAAGTATGAGATTCTACAAAAACTTGAGAGAAATGGTTTATGGTGGAATGAATTATTAGTTGTATATCGTAGTGGTGGGTTATTGTTCATTGTACCTGAAATAGTTTCTACAAGAATCTTGGGAAGTATGGGATTCCACAAGAACTTGGGAGAAACGATTTATGGTGGAATGAGTTACTAGTTGTATATTGGTTTCATGTATGCGTTAAATTACTACTGTTGCTGAAACTTGAGATCTATTTAAATGTCCATGTTTTATTTCAAAAATTCATATATGCTATTTGTGAAAGGTGACCGACTGTTTTTATATGCTTTTTCTAAACCTTGTTCGAGTTTGGGAGAATTTTTCCTACATAGCTTAGTGCTCACCCCCTAAAAACAAACATTTCTCAGATTATATCCAAGAGGAGGATCTTGGAGGCGATGAGCAAGTACCTTAGGAGACTTCGACAAAAGGGAACATGGATTCCGAGGTGGACGCATAGAGCGACTTTACCTTTTTGTTCTAGAATCGATAATTCATCATTGTGAAGTCTAGCTTTTTTTTGTTATTCCGCTGCACTATAACAGTTAAGTTTTGAGATGTAAGCGCTATAGTGTGCATATTCTTTTGGGATAATGTTGTAAATTTTGTGAATGATGAATGGAATCTTATTTATTTATGGATCATATTAGTTGCTCTCATGATGTGAATGGTTCTTAAATTATAATGCCTTCCAAGATGATTTTTGGGGGTGTTACAACTATACCTAAAAGGCTAGTAATCAACTTTTAAATTTTTACAGCTCCCATGGAAAACAAATCCACAAACACAAAAGATTGACTACTTTGCTCATACTTCCTCACTCTTCCATAATTAGCATGGAAAAGGTACTATTTCCATGTTAATGATTAAAGTCTAAATTTCATTACAACACATGCGCACAAATTATCCTACTTTTCATTGGCATGCCACCAAGACTAAAAAACATATCCAATCAATCATAAAGGTCACTACTACCTCTAGGTGTTGTGTTGCTTCTGAAATCATCCCAACCTTAACGGCAACCAATCCTAAAAACATATCCAAAGTAACAGCAAAATGAATAAAACATTAACAACAACAAAACCACCACAAAATAGAAATC